AAAAAAAAAAAAAAAAAAAAAAAAAAAAAAAAAAAAAAAAAAAAAAAAAAAAAAAAAAAAAAAAATTAAAAAAAAAATTAAAAAAAAAATTAAAAAAAATTAAAAAAAAATTAAAAAAAAAATTAAAAAAAAAAGGATACACCAACTTACACCCACGAATAATCGTTCCCGTCCTCAACTTCAATAACGATAAGTTCAGCAATTTTTTTTGCTGTCATATTTTGAGTATCTACATTCATATTTACTAAAAATTGTGTCTTGTAGGTCATATTAGCTTCATCATCGGTATTCACGTTTTCCGTTAACTCTTGGATCTCATTTGCAATGAAGTCACCCACTTCAGTATAATCAATTTCGACACACCCAACATTATTCACCTGTTCTGTTTCTTGGTTAATAATTTCAACATGATCGGTTGATTCAACATGGTCGGTCAATTCGACATGATCGGTCGATTCGACATGATCGGTCGATTCAACACAGTCAGTTGGTTTAACGTGGTCGGTTGATTCAGTATGATCGGCTAAATTTGTGATTATTGTTTGAATATTCGGGTTTCTTCTTCGATCACGACTCTTTTTACATTTAATACAGGTTTTGTGACGGCTACCATCCCAAACAAACTGGGCATCTAAACGATCAACTCTACAATCACTGCAGCGTTTCATTTTATATGTAGGCTAATTTGTGATTGTGTATATTTATGGTTTGAATATCAAAAAGTCTGTAAATCTTGGAGAAATATAATTTTGTTCTTGGAGTCTCACTCATGGTAAGAAAACATCCAATATTTATACAAATAGCGAGACATTTTCACTATTGTCAAGTTGATTAATAGGTAATTGATTTATTAATGCGAATTTATCATTTATCACAATATTAAATTCGAATATTAAATTGATCAATGCATGATAGTTCCTAAAATATGTATCACAAAATTCGTATGATAAATTCGCATTATTAAATCCGGTTCCAAACTCTAATTGTATGTAGTGTGGTAAAATAAAAACGTATATCTTTATTTATGTAATCATTATTAATTACAATTTTATCTTAACCGTTGATACTACAAGAACTGATATCGCTGGAACTGATATCACCAGAACCGATATTACAAAGTAGTAATCGTCCAGTCATATTTAATTGTATTAAAAATGGATATCCTAAAAAAAAAAATAATTATATATTTTTGTATAGTGATGCATCAGGAAGAAACGTACATCGCATTGTTCTGTTATTTATCAGTGTTGAAAAATATTCATTTAGCCTGGAATAGAGTATCCAGACTGATACGATTTCAGGAATTTTTCATTATTCGAACAATGAAAAGTCCCTGAAATTGCGTAAGTTCTTGACACCCTAGTCTGGAAGTATTAATCGATGTATATACAAATATTTCTTTTGTATAAATAAAGCACGATTACAATGGGGACAAAAAGAATAATAAATATATATTTGAAAATTATCAAATATCTTCATTATGTGCGCAATTAAATATTTTATTGAATAAAAAAATAACAATACATTTAATAAAAAACAATACATTAGAACTATCACAATTTATAAAATAATAATCGATTATTTCTTTATCTTAAAAGTTTTCTCAAAAGCTTATAAAAGCCGGGTTGCAAAAAAACTATGCCAACCTTTCAAATCTTTTAATATCAAATAGAATTCATTCAATACGATCATACCGAAATTCTTTAACGCAATTATATTAATCATCATTTACTAATAAATTTGTTCTGTTTTTTTTTAAAGAAAAAAAGAAAATACAAAAAAAAAAATAAAAACCTGACGTCTAATAAACGGCATTTACAATAAGATGGTTGAGAATATTGTAATTTTAATTACGAGAGAGTCATATTAAACATGTGATCCAGATATAACGATTCAAAAATAAAGTGGGAATGAACATAGAATGGAAGCTAAAGATTTGGCCTTATACAATAATGTAAATTCCATTAGCAGAAAAATCAATTTAAACAAAAAGAAAAGCAAGTTAAATTGAGTGGAAAACGATTCAAACGAAAAGGAAAGGAAGTTCTATTGAGAGGAAGACCGATTTAAAAAAAAAAATACGATGGTAACCAAAATGGAGGATATGATGCGGCTGATGCGACAGGGTGTCGATCATCTACCATGATGTATCCGGCAGGGTGTGGATTATCGACCACATGTAACCGGACTTTGGGGGGGGCCGCCCTGTCGAACTCTTTAAGAGAAACCTGTCATTGAGCTTCCAAATATATTTTGTACCGAACGCACTCTGTGAAGGGGAAACGTGACCCGGTCGCAGCGAAAAATGTGATCCAAGCATATGACTCGGGGCATTGATCGACAAAAGCGAAGGAATTTAATAAATTCCAATTCGGGTTTGGCTTAAGGCGATGCTCCATTGAAGAACAATAGTATGACACCTCTGATATTCAATGGTGGGTACTAAAGTAATAGTCATAAAATGAGTATGAATTACTCATCGTTGATCGTTAGCTATATATTCCCCGATACTTTAAATAGTCATATTGGTTAGAGATTCTAATCGTTGTAGCAAATCCTCAAGGATTTTCATTTCAATTTAATTTTACATTATTTATACAATTCAAAGTACTTTTTTAAAAAAAAGAAAACTACTACAAATAAACAAAAAAGAAGTATATTGAAAGTTTTATTAGGGTTGTAGGACTCCACTATTAAAAATAATCAAAACTCTTTTTTGTTTTAGAGAAGTTAGCATAATAGCGACTTCTTAAAATTAGGTTATCACCATGCTAACTTCTCTAAAACAAAAAAAGAATTTTGATTATTTTTAATAGTGGAGTCCTACAACCCTAATAAAACTTTCTATATACTTCTTTTTTGTTTATTCTCTGTAGTTTTCTTTTTTAAAAAAAATACTTTAAACTGTATAAATAATGTAAAATTAACTTGATTTAACAGCCAATCATATGAATGTCTGCCTATGAAGTAATATGGGAGGTCAGTATTATGACTTTGGTGAAATAGTATTTCAGTAAAATAGTTTTGGGAAGTTAACCCTAACCATAATAATTGCGTCAATAGTTGCGTCAATCGTCATTAGTTGCGTCAATCGTCAAAGTTGCGTCTGACGAAACCATTGACGAAACCACTTGCGTCATGCCAAAATCGTTGCGTCACCCATCATTAATTATTACTATGGCAAAATCTTTAATACCAGGAACGGAGTGATGAATATCACGAAGTGTATGGCTTTTCGAGAAAGAAATTATGTGCGTACCCAAAATCTAGTACCCGATTTGTCGGCGTGATCATAGTTGTCACATCTTGTATATTCTTCACCCATTATTAAAATCACGACCCATCTCCGTCAAAGCCACGAATCTGCGTTGCTAAACGATCATCCACTGTTAAAATCTCTGCTAAGTCATACAAAATCTGGAATCTACCCATTGCTAATATCTTTAACTTATCATTACTCGAATCGTAAGAGATGGATAAGTAAGAAAGGATCATATTAATAAAGACTATCTAATACTCGGTGTCCTAGTGACAGTAGGATTCTTTGTTCTCGGACCAAAGCTTTCACGCGTTCTTTCGTATAGCCTTAATTTTTTTTGTGTTTTAGGTTGAGACCCGGTAATCTCACAGCGTACATATTGTTTTACATAAGAGACATTAAATATGACTTTGTATTACTAGAATGCATGGATTTACTTATTAGTGACTGTAATGCGAATATTAAAGGAAACTTTAAACTAAGGGCATAAAGAGAAAATTTTAGGATTAAGACGGCAGGTTATATGCTATACCAATAAAATATCGATTCACGTCATTTGGAACAATATAAGCATCAGTTTTCCTGTATAGTCTCCGGACTTAAGTGAAGCACAAAAAAAAAATAAATGACTCGTATTCAATATAGCCAATAAGATCGACAAATGGTAGTGCACATGCTCTTGATTCTTTGAGAGTCCTTTTGCCGTATTTAGAAGTTAAGCATAGTTCATTCACAATTTAGGTTATTCTTTATAATATAGCACAAAAAAGTTTTTGGTTATAGTATGGAAAATAACTGTTCCCAAAAAATTTTTGCTTAATTTTTCTGTAACATATCCAAATATATCTCTTGATTTTAAAAATCTCAATCACAAATGATGAATATTTTCCCGCTCACATTAATATTTTATTGTCTCAATAAATCGTATAAAGAAAAAAAAATGGTAGTACATGTTTTCAATTCTTTTTTGAGGAGATTTAAAAGTTAACTTTAGTCCATTCACAATTTTGCTTATTCTTTATAATATGGTACAAAAGGTTTTTTGGCTATAGTACGGAGAATAACTGTTCCCAAAAAATTTTTGCTTAATTTTTCTGTATCATATCCGAATATATCTCTTGATTATAAAATCTCGATTATAAAAGATGTTCATTCACAATTTTGGTTATTCTTTATAATATGGTACAAAAAAGTTTTTGGTTATAGTACGGAAAATAACTGTTCCCAAAAAATTTTGCTTAATTTTTCTATATCATAACCGAATATATCTCTTGATTATAAAATCTCGATTATAAAAGATGAATATTTTCTCGTTTACATTTTATGTTTTATTCTTATATTCCAATATTGTCTCAACAAATCACGTAAAGTAAGAAAAATGCAAAAAGAAAATAAGAAATTTCAATTTACCTATGACTATTTCAAACATTTTGTTCAAAATTGGGAAAAGCAATTATCTCATCTTAAAAACAAAAAAATCAACGTTCTCGAAATTGGTGCATTTGAAGGGAGATCAGCAACTTGGATTTTAGAGGAATTGTTCGAAAATCCTGAATCAAAATTGATATCAGTCGATCCATTTAACAAATCGTTTTTAGATGATAGAGTAAATGTCAGAAATTATGAAGCTACATTTCATAAAAACATTAAAATGACTGGTAAAAGCAAACAAAGTAAAATTATGAAGAGTGTTTCCCTGGATGCTCTTATTAAATTAAATTATGAAAAAAATATTAAATTTGATTTTATTTATATTGATGGTTCTCACGTTGCTAATGATGTTTTATCTGATGCTGTTTTGGCGTGGAATCTCTTGAAAGAAGGTGGAATTATGATTTTTGATGATTACTTATGGGATCGGTATGAAGAAGAATATAATAACCCAAAAATAGCAATTGATTCGTTTCTTAAATGCTATGAACCACAAATAGAAATTATTCACAAACATTATCAAGTAACTGTTAAGAAAGTTATCCGAGAAAGAAGTTTTAACGAAAGTTATTATTATTTGGAACGAAGACGACTGTATAAACTTAGTCAAACTATTATGCTGGCACGCCCAAATGTCATTACTTTTTTTTATTTTTTATTTATAAAATTTAAATTTTATATATATGTTAATTTCGATTTTAAATCTATTAACAGCTTTTATAATTTTTTTATTTTTTCAATGTTTTTAATTTCTTTAAATTTCTATTTATTTTATTTTTTTTAAAACTTATTTTTTTTTTTTACGAATTTTGATTTCATCCGGGTTAAAGTTATTGATAAGCTATAGTATCGTGTAATTAAAATTATTTACAGTCGGCCTCGTTATAGTCATTCTTGTTATAAGTAGCCAACAGTTTAATTAATTACAGCCTGCCTCGCTATAGTCATTCTTGACAATCACGCTATAAAACGTATAAATTTTGGTCTCATATAGTTGCGCTTTTTATAATCACCAAAATTTTGTTTTCCAGCTTGGTGATTATATCGAGGTTAGACTGTATAAATACAAAATTGGTGTAATATAC